AACGTCGGTTAGAACTTTTGCGTAAGGAAGCAATTCGAACGAGACAAGTCCCACGCTACGATAATAAATGCCGCTATCTAACACCACAGCAAATAGCCGTTTTATTAGCGAAAAATACTCCATATTGCATACGATTTAAGCTGACAGCTCATGAGGAGCCTCTCCAGGACTTGATCTACGGGCCGGTAACGCACAACGTCAGTGAAAACGAAGGTGATCCAGTTATCATGAAAAGCGATAACTTTCCCACATACCATTTTGCGAACGTGGTAGATGACCATTTGATGGGTGTAACGCATGTCTTTCGCGGCGTTGAATGGCAAATATCGACAACGAAGCATTTACTACTCTATAAGTAAGGGTGTCCTATTGTCGCCGTGCGCTTAATGTAAACGTACGTTTATTTCTTATTTTCAACAGAGCCTTCGGTTGGCAACAACCCCTCTATGGCCATCTTCCACTTTTGGTCAACTCGGATGGTACAAAATTAAGTAAACGCCAAGGTGACATTGGCATCAAAAGTTTTCGGGATAAAGGCTATTTTTCAGAGGCACTCGTAAACTACGTTGTTAGCGCAGGTGGCGGATTCGAACATACGCCTGGACAAAAGCCACAAATATATTCTATGAACGAATTGGCACTTCGATTTAACATCGAGCGCGTGAACTCACATCCTAGCCGTTTAAATCCCGACTTGTTGAACGACTTCAATCGACTGTATATACTAAAATTGCTGCAAAGCAAGGAAAACAGCAAAGACTTGGTAGAGCGCGTAAAAGTTTTGGTGCGAGAAGCTTATCCCAAGGAGTAAGAAAATTTGTTTATGTTAAATAGAGTATTAATTTAAATACTGTACTTAATTCGCAGAAAAAATCTCGATTTAGGCAATCCGCATATTGAGAATGTTTTAAAGTGGGCATGCAGTCGTTTAACATTCATCGAAGACTTGACCGAGACAAATTTGAGTTTCCTTTGGGTTCGACCTGTCGAATTCAAGTTAAAAAATGTTACAAATGGTGCGAAATAGTGCAAGGACTATTTATTTGGTAGTATGTACTAATGTAAAATACTTTCAGATCAAATGGAATCTCTGATAGCGAATTTAGAAAATATAGAATTCACAAAAGATAATCTGAATCTAAAGTTGAAAGAATTCGCAGACAATAATAATGTGAAATTTGCAGTTTTCATGAAGACTCTTCGTTCAGCTCTAAGTGGTTTAAAGGTAAAATTTTCTTGAACCCTTACAATAAAATTGTGTATGTCCAATTTAATACACAATATCGCATAATTACAGGAAGGCCCCGGTGTTGCAGAAATGATGGACATTCTAGGAAAAGATTGTGTGTTACAACGTCTCAGGAGCAGCATGCATACGCAAAGCAAGGAAGCAGCGGCAAATGTAGTGAAAAAATGATAATCCTTAAGGGTGTTTTGTTTATCTGTTAATAAAGGTTAATTATTTTCTAAGTAAAATAACGTGTAGATTCGTTCGTCGATTTTTAATTTATTACGGTTTACGGCTTGAGACGAACAATTTTTGTTTGTGATCATTAATAGATTAATATGTATGTTAATAGTACAGTCAGAGTTTTTAATATGTATCGTTTATGAATACTGATTTTCATTCAAATATGTACCTAATTATAGGTTCGAAAAGGGGGATCATTGCATGCATTACTTCAATAATCATATTTTAAGTATCGCATTTTTTTCTATTACGGGGGGAAATATTGTTAGTAATAATTTCATACTGATATTTAGCGCAAGTTTAAATATTTGCCGATCTGTATCGCAATTTTTCCGCACCGTACAAAGCCTATTTCCTTCATCCGCAAACTTTTCAGTCAATTTAACTAAAATCACGATTGGTTAGTACAATGGGTGCCACCAGACTCCACCCGTATATGGAGACTCCAAGCCAACTAGATATAATTTTGATCCACATGGAAGCAGCATTAGCGTTGAATAGTTCAATATCGGAGTTTGGTCTAAGACAGTAAAGAAATAACATTTGTATAATAATAAAATTTTGCATATAAAACATAAAATTTACTTACTTATACCAGTTGGTAAGTGTCATCATAACATAGAGGGAAGCGCAGACAAATACAATATGAAACATGGACCAGGAATAGGTAACGCCTTCACTCTCGCTGTCGTTTGCGCCTTTGCCATCAGCATTGCCGACTTCTGAATCTGAGAGAGCTTCTGTTAAGACTATGTAAGTTTAATTGTTTCAACATCAAAGATGTAGATATTTGTACAAAAAATATGAAAAAATTTTAAGTGAACCGAAAGAGGACCAAATCCATTGTACCGATGTTCGTACCATTATTTTCGTGTTAGTTCATTGTGGTTGTACATACATTACAGTAAAGGTGACCGAAAGTAGGAAATCATACAAAAATAAAATGTAAAAGAGAAGAGTGTTAGCCATTTACAACGAATAATCTATTAATGATTTGTTGCAGTGTGATTAGTTGAAGTGCCTCGGAAATCAGTTAATGTGAGAATGCAAAATAAGTGAAATTTTAATGGTGCCAACTCAGTTTGTGGTATTGATAAGAAAATGTGCATGATATTTGCTACAACTGATTATTTAGATGATGAATGTTTGGTACCAAATTGTTAGGGAATAATTGAAAATGCGTATGTATTTAAAAAAAATAATAATAATCAAACTTACCGCGCTTTTCGCCGTCGTTATTTATTTTGGAAACCTCAACAGCCGAGCTAATGCAATTGTAGAGAATGCAGAACAACCAAACAATTAAGCCAATTATATTTGTTGTATCGAAAGTCACTTTCGAGTTGGGTGTTGGTGGCGCAATAGTCGTATTGATAGCTGTTACACCATTTATTACGCCATACATGCCAGGATTGCAATCCTTCTCTATTAGGAGGGATAGAAAATTCTAGTTTTTTTATAAAATTAAACCACATTTGCGTGTAAGCGTAACCTGGGTTGTTGGCAACAGCAGACCAAGTCAAGTAGACAGTGTAGATGGTAACCAGCGAACTTTGTAGGAGACCAGAGTGTGGCAAGCGATCTTGCACAGCTGGCATAACTGACAAAACGCTTGCAATCAGGCAAAGTATTAGATTGAAGGAGATGAAGAACTTGTTAAGACCGCAACCGTCTGACTGCAGGTAAAGATCGATTAAAGAAAGTTAACTAGAAAAGACAAGTAATAAAATAATTTTCAAAATTTGAAAAACTTACATGCGTGAAGTAGATGTAAAGCAAGGAAATGCCCACAATCGATAAAGCATAACTGGTAAGTGTAACACCGACCAAAGCATAAAAGTAGCCACGATTATTTTCAGCATTTTCTGTTAAACAAAATACGAATTTAATAAGCATTTATTTATTATGTGCATACGTAAACATATCACTAACCAATCCAATTTTCTGCCACAGAGTGTGCGAAATCCACAATTATTACCAATTGCACCAGTATGAAGGCTAGTCCACCAATCAATCCTACCCACATCATTGCTGGTCCGAAAGAGCCATCCGGTATGAAAATGGCACCAAAAGCAGCACCAAAACATATTAAAAATTTTAATCCCCAAAATTCATTTTGTATAGACGAACGTGGATCACGTGAACTCTTAACGCCTAACATAATTAATGCCATTAGCATAAAGAAGCAAGCCAATCCGAAACATAAGCGATAAACTGCCATATAACCGAGCGCATATTCACAGTCGACTTGCAGATTCCCAGTATAAGATAATGCCTTGGCGCTAACCGTCGAGGTGGAATTTATACAAAAAGGCAATTTTTTAAGAGTATCCTGTAGTCCGGGAGATAGTGCTATAGCGCCCAACACAGTGCCCACCAGCAGCATGAAGGCATACATAAAGCGTGATGAAGTGGAATTCTTACAGGAGGGGCATGCATTGCAACAGCAGCTGGCCGCAGTGCCGGTGCAACAGAGAGCGCACTAAAAAATTAAAAAAGTAAATGTTATATGTTGACCATATGGAAAACCCATAATTGAGGCAGATTCCCATATAAATTTAGAGGATGAGTAATGAGCGAATTGTAATGTATGGAGTGCGTATGCGCTTTGGTAGAAGGCAAAAATAATTAAGTTACGTATACCATCGCATTATGTATTGAATTTGGAAATTATTGATTTTTGTTTACTTACGCCGTCGAGAAAAGAACGCAATTTCTTGTTGTTGCTAATTGCAATGATGGAGGCGCACTTACCTGTGCTGCCGAGCACAATCCTAAAACTGCTCCCATATTGAGCTAAGTTTTCACTTTCAAATATTTTTGATATCTACTGATTTATGTATGTGCTGAATAGGTAATATTTTTTAATAGTCCGCGATTATTTTGGATTTTTCCGAATGCAGTCAGGTTTCGCAATTTTTTCCTTTGTTAATAAAATGTCAACAAATAATAAAACACAGAGTTGTATTCGCTGATAATAGATTTCAAGTCAATAAACATAGAAAATAAAAGAAGTGTTCACAACAAGAATGTTCTTGGCATCTCGGTACACCAAAGATGTTGGTATCGTTTCGGCAGTCTTGTCGCGGCCTTAAACCGAATCTTTAATATTTCATATTCTTGATTGAATCACATGACTTTTAAATATGCTTTTAAACAGTGCCATGCAAAAAAAAATACATACTCACACATAGCGCAAGGCTATTGGTTGCCTAGCACTGTTTTAAAAATAAATAATTCGGTTTGAAAATAAAATCTAAAATTTTAAGTTTAAGATAATGTTTTAAAAAATCATTAAAGAGTGCATTATAATCAAAACTAAATTTAAAGTACGTCTACAACGATCGTAAGTTAGTTGTAAAAAATACTATTATAAGTTATAAGTTAATTATAAAAATCCATCAAGTAAAATATTTGTGAAATAACGTACTCCGGGTTGGATAGAAATTTTAAGCAGAGCACATCTGTTCTCACTTAAACTGTCCCCATCTTGGTCTATGCCTTGTCTAATTCGCAAAACAGCTGATTGTCGTCGTCCAATTTTTTTTGGCTTTTCTGCGTTTTCTTACAGCTTTTAAACGCGTGTTTCCACGTTACATGGAAATAAAATAGCAATCCCGGTTGGATCAATCTTCTCATTTAATTTCCTTATCGTGTACGTGTATGCAGTAAATATACATATTTACCTATTTGCCCCCACCAATAGTGTAACGTCATTAAGCAAACAAACTCATTTGGAATAGCCGGCAAAACACCAAAATCCAAAGCGAAAGAAACATCCAAAGAATTTTGACAAAAACGCTGTGCGCTTGTACGGATTTGATAATTTGTATATGTACATTCGTGTGCGCTATTGAATCACCTAACGACTTTCAGAACGCGAGGCATACATCCACTTTCACGTTCTGCTGTTCTCTGCTATATTTTCAGTCTACTTGAACAATACTGTCGTGCGGTTGGTTTTCTAGCGAACATCGTAAGAAGCTATTACCTAACTGAATATACCATGTCTACTTCTGTGTATGAAGGTGTTGAAAAGGGGCCAGCCATTGAGGTGTTTGCCCTAAATCGGGCATTTTTGGAGGATACCACACCTAAAAAGGCTAATCTCGGAGTGGGAGGTAAGTTGCATTTTGGAGAATGATTAGTATAGAATATTTGTAAAGGTGAATGCAAGCGAAGCAACAATTGTCCCGTCATCAAACTCTACTAAAAACTTGTATAGTAAAAAATATGGAGAAAATATATTATTGTACTATGTATGTATGTATTACCAAAGCAGTAGAGGAGTATCAGCGATAGCACTTTCGTACCACAATAGTATACTTAAGGAGGAATTGTTCTTAAATATGTACATATGTACGTAATAATACGAATTGTCACGCGCAGTTTATGAAACTCTACGTTATTGTTTATGAATTCTGTACTGCGACTGCCAAAAGGTCAAATCAAAGGTCGAATTCACTATGCCATGTGCAATATGATGATAATAAGGCGTTATGGGGGGTGTATTCGCTTTAGTTTGTTGAACATTTTCTATTTACTATTGTTTCTGTAAGTTATGTTTTATTTTTTGTTAATTTTCAACCATGTATGTATATCAACGGATACTTCTGCATAAATACATCGTCGTTTAAAGTACAAAACCGCGTATCGTCATTCTGCAAAACCGGGTAACTGACATTTGCTGAGAAAAATTGTGTTTGCTCACACAAGCTCTTGGCTCAATCCTTATCAATTCGTCCTGAAATATACTAGCCAGAAATGCGATTGCTTTTTAAAAAGAGAACCATTTTGAAATATGAGTGTTTTTACTCTCAAGAAAATAATTTATGCAACCTCACATACGCGGTTTTGCATTTTGTTGATACGCGGTTTTGTACTTTAAACGACGATATGTAATATATGCATAAATATCGCACCCTAAACCAAAAACAGTCACAACTCAAAACTTTCCAAAATAAATTTTTTCCATTAAAACAGTCAGCATATTTCTAACGTCCACCAAAATTTCTTCTATATTACTATCTTCTTTAAACGGAAAAATACTTTTATTTTGAATTTTTTTCGTTTGATCGCTTGCCCAGCATCAATAGTTGTTTGCCTCTCCTGAACATTTGGAATTTTTCAAGTTGTGACTGTTTTTAATTTAGAGAGCGATATGTAAGTATGTACCTATGCAGAAGTACATACATAAATACCCACCATGAAGACATGAGAAATAGGCAACAATCGTCAATAGCAACAAATTGGCGACTCGCCGGTTTATTGCCGTGGTGACCAATCGGCAACATCATATCTTTCATGTAAATTTTTGGAATAAATAAGATATCAAAAATGCCCAAGCTTATGAATTTGGCGTCAACAGTTTTATACAAAAGTATCTAATTGTCGTTTTGGGAAATCGGGCTTTAAGTTTGGAATGCAATTTTTCGAAAACGCCACGATAGATTTTCTCCAAAGTGTCGGAGAATGTTGCTAGGTCACGAAATTCTTAAATTATTTTAGTTTTATTGTCTATTGTTTATTACTTTCGAGTTTATGTATGAAATACGACAAAATCTGATACAAATTTGTACTAAATTAACGATACTTTTTATTCAAAATCTCGGAAACTAAAAGAGATATCCAACAGTGGAAAACGCAATTTAAAAGATCTTGATTAGCGTAGTATAACTGATTGTTTTTCTCTACTTGTACTAAATTACCGATAGAATTTTAGTCAATATTTCGTAAAATACAGGAGATATCCAAAAACTTATAACACCAATCTAAAGATCTTATTTTAAAATGGCACTTATGACAATCTTTTGTATAGGCGACAATATGCTAATGTTTATAAGCAAAGTGTGTTAAAAAAAATGCTTTGCGGACGCAAGAGGTGCTCGGTTGAGCTTCCTATTGTAATCAAAACAAACAATGTCTTACCGGTTGTTTTAATTTGCATACTTACCACATTTTAATGTGTGTTTTTATAGAGATGATGCGAGAGTGATGTGAAATTATAAAATGTACCCATTTATATACATACATATGTAGTAGATATATACACATGTAGTTTAGTTTGTATGTACTACTACTGCTACGTAATTTAGTTTGAAATTTTTTTTTACTTGGCAACAAAACACTCTTGGCATTTTGTAACATCTGACCCAAAGTTGGGTCAATGTACCCATTAATCTCTTTTAATTTGTTACAAGTTTGGCGTTTGAATTAGGCAAGGGTTTTACAATTTCTGTCTATGAATAGGTTTAGCTTGCCATTTATATTTAGTACGTATGTATGTATATAAATTGATTTTTTTTCGCCTATAAATAAAACCTCGCGATTTCGAATGTTCATATATGTATTTGCAAATATGCACATATGTATAATGCTTCTTTGTATACGTATGTATGTATGCACATTCAAAAATATGCAAACATACGACTGCAAATTGTTAAGGTACATGTTTACTCGCATTTTTGACTGTGAGCTTGACCAAATCAGCGTATTATCTACATTAATGGGCTATAAATAAATGTTATATGTACATATGTATGTATGTAGGGAGGCTCTTACTAAATTTTGTGCAGGGATTGTTATTATTGCCCTTAAAATGTGTACGTAAGAGCAGCAAAGTTTTTAAAGCGGAGTCTTCTAATCTTGATCTGAACTTTTTACATACAAAACCTGCTGATGAAAAACATCTTTCGGCTTCAACACTTTTAGGCTGAGCTGTCAAAAGGTAGTCATTTGAAGACATCTTGTCCATTACAAAATATTTGAACTTCTTTTACCAGTACGTCGGACGAATTATAAATACTTTCGATTTGAGGAAGTTTGAGTAGATTGATTTAAAAAATTATGTAATTTTTCGTTAACATTAGCGATGCTATGAGTACAATCATTTAAATCTCCTTAAAAAAAGTTTCAGGCTGCAATTTTAAGAGTATAGTTTCAAGCTTTTTGTTAATTGTAGTCAAAACGGCATACTTCAAATTGATAGAAAAAGTTCTTACTATCATCCCGATATTTCAAATTTTTCGGGCTCTCAAAAAAAAACCAGGTTCCCGGGATTGGCATCCCTAGTACATATGAATTTAGCAATCAGCCATTAAATCAAGTTTTAATATCATATATGTATAACCGGATTGGAGATCAATAACCCCTTTTCCAGCGCATGCCATATGAATTAATTTAAATTTAATATATTCCGTTCAATCATTCAAAAATTGCCTGAGCTTGCTCAAGCTACATTCGTAATCATCTGTTTTCGTTATCGTAAAATTGAACCACTTTTACTTTTCATTTTGCAAAAGTCGCACAACGTAGTCCATTTTTATTTTTAAATTAACATTTTATTGGGATAGGTAATACATACTATACCGATTTTTTTTTATTTCAGATGTTGCTATTGTCAACGTACTATTTTTGTATATTGTCGTTTAAAGTTCAAAACCACGTATCGTGGTTCTGCAAAACTTCGTAACTGACATTTGTGCCAAAAAATATATATATGCTCACTGGAATCTCCGGGCATCAAACCTTTATCCATTCATACTAAAATATCGATACTTAGATATAAGAAGGGATAAAAGAGAGCACCGTTTTGAAATAAGACAGATTTTATTCCCTCCTCTAAAGTTTGGGCAACCTCACATACGAGGTTTTGCATTTTCTTGATACGCGGATTTGTACTTTAAACGACGATATATGCATATATGTATAGAAATATAAATGTATGTACATACATATGTATACCAAAAATGAATAGAAATTGATAGAAATGCACCACCCCACCATGCAACATAAGAGAAATAGGCATAGGAATACAAAAATTCCCAGACTGATGAATTTCGTCAACAGTATTCTCCAAAAGCGTCTAAATTATGCCAAAGATAGGACTGGAAATAAGATCAAAAATTTTGTTGTCCCAAATATAGACTTAATTGGTATTGTTGGAGAGGTCCCAAACTACACACCAAAAAAGGCCGTTGAAGTTGAAGCATTTGAAACCAAATATTTTAGACGGAGCCACATCAGTTTTGGGCTTTACACGGAAAAAAAAACAACTCGTGACATATTAAGTTAAATTTAAAATTTTTCCGTTTAAAATTGCTTAAGATAACTGCAAAAAATTAACTTAAAAAAAATTTGAACTCTGCAGTTTGCATGTCAAATCATATTTTTTATTCCATAAATCAAAAGTATGGTCTTTTATCTGTTAAAAAATAAAATAAAAATGTGCCACTGTTTTGCATTTTGCGAAACAATGCATCAAGTAATTTTTTCATTTTTGTTAATGCCATCGGGTCTGCACCATTCGTTCGATTTTCAAAAATGAGAAGGCAAATTAAATGCATTGTCCTTTAAATGTGTAACAAAGCTCTAATTTTTGGAAGCAGCCCGAGAAAAATTTAGTAGGGGATTCCACAAGGTGGTGTCCTTTCCCGCTGCCACCAGAGGGAGTTTGTTATGCTGACGACTGCTCGGTAATTGCGTCAGGGAATGGAATTGATGGCTTGTGCTCGAAAGCAAACGGTTACCTCTACGAACTTTCTCGCTTCTTCACTGCAAGAAGCCTAACCCTAACCCTCTAGCCTCCGAAATTCTCGGCAACCCTTTTTACCACCCGAACGAAGCAGACGATGGCGAATAACTCAAAAATCCTCGGAATCTCCTTCAATAGTCTGTTCTCCTTCTCGGCGCAATTGTCAGTCGAGTACAGACCCGCAACAAGGTCCTCCAGTCGCTAGCCGGCAGCACTTGGGGGGCAAAGACAAAGAAACGTTGCTGGCAACATACAAAGAAATTGGCTAGCCGGTCCTAAACTATGCAGCGCCCGTGTGGTCGCCGGGGACTAGAAGACACAGTGGACGAAGCTACATAAATTCCAGAACATGGCACTCCGTAGGGCGACAGGGCGCCTCCTGATGTTGTTAAGATGGTGTTTCGTGACGAGGCCCAGATGCTCTCCATCAGGGAGCATAACGCAATGATCTGCAAGCAGTTCCCAGTAGGGTGCCACAGACGTGGGCATCCGAACAGACAACTGCTTGCAGAAGAGCCCTCGCCCAGGCACGTCAAGAGGCATATCTACGAACTAACGGACGAAGTCCAGAGGTTCATTAAACAACCT